ACAGAGATCCCTAGCCCCTTACACCATGTAAAGACACAGGGAGAAGCACCGGCTATGAACAAGAGAGTGGGCCATCATCAGACCACAACTATGCTGGCACCTTGATCTTGATCTTCCCAGCCTCCAGAACTGTGAGAAATAAATTTCTGTTGATAAACTACCCAGTCTGTGGTATTTTGTTGAAGCAGCCTGAATGGACTTAGTGTTCAATTTCACTCTCTTGTGTGTGGATATTCAGTTTTTCCAGCATCATTTATTGAAGAAACTCTTCTTTACCCATTGAATGATATTGGCACCCTTATAGGAAATCAGTTGATCATAGATGTATGGGTTTGTTTCTGGGCCCTCAATTATATTATTCCACGTATCATTGTGTTTAACTTTATGCAAGTACCACACTTTTGATTACTGTAGTTTTTTAGTAAGTTTTAAAATCAGGGATTCTGAGTCCTCCAAATTTGTTTTTTTTTTCAAGATGTTTTTGGTTATTTGGGGCTCCTTGCAATTCCATATGAATTTTTGTCGTGATATTGTATCCTGCAACCTTGCTGAATTTATTTATTAGCTCTAATCATTTCTTTAAAAATTCTTTAGCATTTCCATATGTAAAATCATGTTGTCTATAAACCAGGGATATTTTTATTTCTTCCCTTTCAATTTGGATGCCTTTTATTCTTTCCTTGCCTAATTGCTCTAACTATTGGGTTGTCAGAAAAGTCATGATGTATTTTGTCTATGTTTTTCAAAGGTATTTTATTTATATAAAACACAAAGATCAACCAATGATATATTGCCCATTTTGTTTGATAACCTTTTGCCATCTTTAAGTGATCTTCATAATTCCTCATTCATAGAAGGACTTGTCTTTATCGGTGGAAAACTGAACAAGGTGCTGATTTACAGCCTCATTTGAATTGAACATTATACCACACAAGGCGTTTTGAAGAGAGCGAGACAAGTGGAAGTCTGACAGTGCAAGTTCAGGTGAGTATGGTGGGTGTGGCAACACATCCCATCCTAGCTCCAAGAATTTTTGATGGGTGATCAAACTTGTGTGTGGTCTCGCGTTGTTGCGATGAAACACAACTCATTTACAATTAACAAGCTCTGGACGTTTCTGGATGATGGATTCGTTCAAACTGTCCAATTGCTGACAGTACACATTTGAATTGATTATTTGGTTCCTTGGTAGAAACTTGAAAAACAGGACACCTTTAAAATCCCACCATGCTGAGAACATAACCTTCCTCTGATGAATGTCTGCTTTCGATGTCATTTGAGGTGAATCATCACGTCGGGACCAAGACTGTTTGTGCACCACATTGTTAAACAATCCACTTCTCATCACCAGTTATCAGTCGCTTCAAAAAAGGGTCGTTTTCCTCATATTTAATGAGCATATTGCAGATGTTTATGCACACCATCAAATGAACTTCTTTGAGTTCATGCGGAATTCAAATATCGAGGTTGCTTATGTATCCCAGCTTCTTCAGGTGGTCGTGAACACTTGAATGATGGATATTCAATATTTCTGCAATCTCTTGTGTAGTGTAATGTGAGTTTGACTTGATTAATGCCTTTATTTTGTCCTCATCAACCTCAGTGGGCCTCCCTGACCGAGGAGCGTCGTTGAGATCAAAATCACCAGCATGGAATTTCGTGAACCATCATCGGCACTGACGTTCCTATAGAACATTGTCACCATAAACTTTATGCAACTTTTCACAAGCTTGATGCGTGTTCTTCTCTTTATGGAGGTAAAACAGTAAAATATGGCAAAAATGCAGTTTGGTCTTCCATCTTCAACTTGTTGTAAAATCTCCAAAATTCAACCAAATCAATTTTTTTTTTAGAATGAAGCTAGAACTGTCAGCTGTCAAATGACATAGCAATAACATAGATGCGAA